TTATTTTGAAAACTACTCAAATAGTGTTTCTCCATAGCTGCTTACTTCCTATAGCTAYGTATATACATACACACACACATATACGTACATACATATTTTATTTCTGTCTATCTCCCTCCCTACCTATCAGCTTTCTATAACCACCCCTTCAGACTGTATGTAACCATAGTCACAAACCAAAATCTTACTTTAGTATAAATCCAAGATGTTTCATATCAAGTATGAATTAACTTCTTTTTCAAACTTGAACTTGCCTTGATACTATAATAAATCTTTCAAAATCACTCAAAAGCAAAATTCCATAACAGTGAAAGCTGTTAAGAAAACATTTTTGTGCACAAAACTGAATCAATCATGATTCAATTATGGGTTATGTGACTAGTCATCATTAATTAGCCATGACTAATGTGTCCAGGTGACTACTAATCAGAAATACTATATTTTGTCTACTTCAGAATTCACGAATGCTTGTCTGAAAATTCCCTAGATTTTTTTTATTCACTTTGATTTAGTCATCAGTCCCCAGATAAATTTTGCTGCCACCTAGCTAGAAAATAGACACAGTAAGATAAGAAGGTATCCAGTTCTATGGCATGAATAACGAATAGCAAAACATCACAACAGTAATTGCAAACCCATCCCTTGAATTCAAAAATTACTTTTGCAAGTAAGGCAGAAGAATAATAAATTAGGATTATCAAGAAAGTTAAATCAGGKATGCTGGAACACTTCTTCCTGCAAGTGGTAAGGAAAATTTGCCTTTTTTTTTTCTTTCCACTGCTGTACCAGACCCCTGAAGCTCTCAAAGATGATCAGCCAGCCCTAACAAACTGAAATTCCAATGCATTGAAAATATTATATTACAGGTTGTATATATTAAAAGCTTTATATGAACATGGAGAGTATCACTTTTCCTCTGCAAGATTACAGCCTTTCCTTCCACAGTTATCTGCTGCTATTTGTTTGGAGAATAAATTTTCTAAACCGGGTTTATTTCTTTCTCATCTCAGTCTGCTCCTTCTGCCTGCTGCAACTTCATTCTGACACAGTAGCAAGTGGATCTGACAGCAGGGATAGGATGATAGTTGGATTAGAGTTCTAGGCTGCAACTGTTTAACCATGTATTTTCCAGGAAAGAAGAAAGACCAGAGCATAGTTACACAACCTGGGATTAAGGATTGCCACAAATCTTCAAGTTTTTCAGAGTAATATAGATGGACAAACTAGAAAAGAGATGCCTTTGTATTTGCAAGACTCTGTACGTAACCAACTACACCAGACCCCACTACTACAAGAAAACTGTTCAAATCACCATACCAGCTCAACCTATCAATGTCTATACCATGTTACCCTTACTTTTTACCATACCTAYCAATGAGAAAAACAGTAGAAATACATTGAAAAATATGCACAAATTCTGATTCATATAATTACATCCTTTCTAGGATCTCCAGGCCTACATTTTTCTAATGCAGTTCTACTGGTTTTATGTAAATATATCCTTGGTATCCTACAGAAACCTAATCCTTCCAACCTGTAATATAAATACTTTATTTTTAACATGTGGTATGTGTTGATTTCACCTTAATTATATATTTCCCATTGCRAGAACTTGAACCATGGGATACTGGGAAAGAATTTAGCCAGCAGCCTATAAAGAATATGGGCTGAAGCTTGGCTTCCATTAACACCTCATTAGGCAGAGCCTGTATTGTACCTAAAGTGGGCTAATGAGTTTTAAATGTAGTTGTCAACCTACAACTTAATAGCGTAGAAACTCTTTTTTCTCTCTAATACCAAGCGAGTGATAATATATTTTTAACTCTAAAAATCAGCATGAAGTTGTTGGGGTTTATTATTACCACAGGCAAGATCTCCATTGGTCCTCATCAAACACTGACCTTCAGCAGGGCTCTATAACAGATAACACAAACGGTATTAACTGTGGTGCGAAATTTGCTGATAAACCAAAGCTGATGGCTTGAGGAAAGCATCTTTAAATCCTGGGTTTAACATAGTTCAGCTTGCTAAGAACAGAGATAGAACCATCAAATGACTGTTGGGCAACTGTAAGATTAATTCTAATCCCATTTAAAGGAATGGAAAAATGCTCATGCTTGTGCTTAATGTGAATAAGATTAGGCCTCGTGTATATTTAACTGGCAGCCGACACTTCTTGCAGGCAGTTCTCTACATTATGAAAAATCTCTGTTATGGTTTACATTAACCTGACAGGTTTAACAGTAGTTCAAGAATGCAGGACTTTAACTCCCCCTAAAGCTGCGTAAACGGCCCTGGAGTCAAGCTGAGGTTGCACCGTATATTCCGTAATTAGCAAGGGGGTTGCGGTATTCCTATCCATCAGGCGACCCCTCCAAGCAGGGTTAGGACCCGATGTTGTTGCAATGGCCTTTGAGGCATGTGTGTGCTGCAGGTGAAGCTGGGTTTGCTGTGTGGGCAAAAAATGTGCTTGGGCCCCGGTGGTTCACTGCACTTTTGCCGAGGATCATTTTTAAAGACAAAAAAAAGAAGGAAAAAAAAAAAAAAAAGAGAGAAAGAGAATTTGTCAATTTACAAAAATTGAAGTGCCTTCACTTCTAGCCTGCAGAACCTCTCTCTTGGCTCTTAAAGCAGAATGATTTTAAAATGGGCCGGTTACAAACAGCTCTTCCATTACAAAATATGTCCTAAACATCATCACACTTATCTCAGACCCCTCTAGCTTATCAGATAGCTGGTGGTGGCTGCTCTTGCATGGATCTCAGTCTCAATTAGCTGCCAAACCTACATTTAGAGCAGGGAGCAGGCGTGCTCGCTTTCATGTGCCAGGGGCTGGGAAGGGAAATTAAGAATTTTCCAGGCTCAAAATGCCTAGTCATGGGCTTCTTCACCCATGCCAAGTTGGCGAGAGGTTGGTGCAAAGYGGGTGCTGCTGATGCAGTTGCCCCATCACTTGGTGCCTCTTTGGTACCACAGCAGCGCCTCTCCACAGCAAACGCGATTAAGAAGAGAGGCCCTCCTGTGGTTCATGTTTGATTAGGGAATGTGGCAGTGACTTTTCCTCATTGTCTCCATGCCGGAATGCTGCATTCCTTGGGAGCAGAATGACAAGAGCTGCTCTGGGATGCAGGCAGGTATGCGCCTCCAGCGCTCTGTGCTGAGAAACCTGGTCCTGTTTTGTATGTGTGGAAAAAAGGAAAATAAATGCCTTGGCTTATCGTGCTTGGCCAAGTGTAAGATGGTGATACATGTATTTGTGCTGGAGAACTCATTTGGGCTGGATCTTCCTGAGTCACTGGATCTGAGAGAGCCAACATTAGGCAGAGGAGGCTCGGCCCTTGGTGAGAAACACGTGCTTTAAATTCTCCCTGCACATATCATAGAGTTATGATGTGCTATAACCAAACTGCTGGCTTTCTGCTGAGGATGAAAGCAGCGTGCACAGAAACGTGCACTGATTCCACCCGCTGGAAAAACAATTACTGCAACAAGTGAGCACAGAAGCTGCTAATAGTCACAGCACCATGGTGGGGCACTTGCGAAAACTGGCAGCTCAGCCAGTGTCCTGACCCAAAATAACAGGTCTATTTAAATCATTTCCTGTCCTTTTCTGCTCCCCACTACCCCATCACAAGCAAAAGAAATGGCAATCTTCATAATTACACCTAGAAATAAATCTACATTGAAATATACACTTTCAGCAAGAGAAGTGACTATATTGTATAATCAGCATTTCTCACTCATTCCTACTCTCCTCTGAAACCACAGGTTGAAAGGAAGTGCTTTGTCTATTAAAAGGGGTAGTTTAATTTATTTCATTGATAGCAGCAATTAGCTTTTTACTTGCAAGACAGCATTTATAACAAATCTCTTTCCTTAAAACATATGTCACTGCCCCATAAAAGCAAAACCCATTTCTAATGGATTTCTAGAAAGACATTCAGAAAAATTATCTTATTCTTCTTATTTCTCATTGAAGCATCTTAGTTATCACTTTAACTATGACAGACATTTTCATGGGTAAATTAGCATTCTCTCATTCCCACCTATGTCAGCAAAGAGACATTTTATTTTTAGCTCTRCATAAGAAGTAAAATTAAAACATTACTGAATGATCAGTCGTCATTTTACCTTGCACACATGATTTTTTATAATTCCACTGCAACAATTGCCTGTCGGTTATTTCTAAGTACATCTTCTGCAAATGCAAGTATTGCGGTAGAGCACTGTAATGTCCTGGCTGAGCACCAGTATTTATATATGAAAGATTAAAACAGAAACATAGGAAAGAGTTTAAATCATAGACAATCCAGACAGAACAAGGGGATACTTTGAAGGAACTAAGAAATTTGCAGGCTTCAGGGAAACTGAAACTGAAAAAAGAAAGAAGTTATAAGTACTGTACACACACATGTTATAGCAAATAGTATTTTTTTTTCCTTTGGGTAGCTCAGTTAAACTGCAAGCCGACTTACACTGGCAGTTAGTCWTTTTAATTATAGTGTGATGACACTTGCTTGTTTAGAAAATGAATCATATGGTTGCACAGGAATTCAGTCTTTTTGCCTTTGCTGTATTTGAAGATAAATAGAAATCTAAAAGTGAAACAGACATTTAATTTCTTAAGGGTTACTTGATACATATGAGTATATTTTTTCTGCAATAATTTCAGGTTATCTTTTCCATTTCTTTCTTGTTAGAGACATCCTTCTTATAAGACAGAGAATAAAGACAGAATGACAAGCAAATCTAAAACACTTTCAGGCAGAGGAGTATTTAAGTAGCCAAAAATCAATCTATATAAGTGCCTCAAATCCTCCTGAATTCAATAAACTTAATTATGAGTGCAATTTAATACAAGGAAATAATCCATAAAATTTCTGAATAGGAATATTTTCCTCTGTCAGAGGACAGTAATTTAATCCTGATGCAATACTTCCAGAGAAGCCAATGGACTTGCTTTAGCAAAAAGTCTTTAAAAACCTGACACGCTGACCTACCTTTATGTGACAGCCGCAGCCTTGGCTGCCTCGTATCTGTTGCGTGACATCCAGCCGGGAAGTCTAGTAAGAAGCCACACAGTGCCAGGATGAAAAGGTCCTGGGCAGATGCCATCCTGGCCAAGATCAAATTCTTGTGCTCTTAACTGCTCCTGTTTGTTTGTTTTTTAAGGATCCAAGTTGCACTTCTGCTTTCCCAGAGTAGATGGATTGCTCCCTTTGGTCAGTTTGTGGGGTATCTCTATGGGAAATGCAGAGCTGCTCGGAGATGCCCAGGCTCAGCTGGTCATTGTCAAGCTGCGCAAATGTCATGTAAAAATATTCCCTCCCTAGGACAACTGTTTATAAAGTGCGAGGACATTCCCAGGCATTACTCTGCAGTGTTGTGTCTTGAGCTCTCTTAGTGACTCTGCCAGTGGATTCAGGAAGAAGCCGTATTTTCAGTCCCTCCTGCAAGGCAATTCATTCAGAGAAGGAGGGAAGAGAGGAAAAAAAAAAAAAAGAGAGAGAGAGAGAGAGGAGAGAGGAGAAAAAAAAAAGAAAGCACCCTCCTCCTTGGTGCTCTTCAGAAGTCAGCCCCTTGCTCCGACTTGCCAAGCAGCTAGTTTTAATTCACCTTTCACCTTTGCTAATTAAAAACAAGAAGTGCCATTCCCTCCTGGCGCGGCGGGATCCACCCAGCGGGAAGGCGGCTGTCAGGCTGCTCTATTTACCCAGGAAAGTTCAGGGCGGGTTGAGGCACCGTGCAGCGCTCGCCTCTGCTCGGAGGCGCCCGAATCCACGTGCCGGGCGCCGGATCCTGCACCGCTGCATGGCGAGACGCGTGGGGCTGCATCCCTGCCATCCCTCCGCAGGCAGAAGTCATTGCAGCTTGTGCTCCCAGGGCAGGTTTTAGGGCAGGATTAACCCCTGAATTAACTAATTAACTATTTAAGTGCCTCGTCACTTAGAGCCATTAAGCAGCATGCCGTTAAGTGGATCGGGATAAAAGAAGTGAAGTGAAAGAAGACAACAGTTGTATACCGTATTTTACATTAAAATAAGGGATTGGGGGTTGCTTTTTTTTTTTTTTTTTTTTTTTTTTTTTAATAAGGATACGGTTTTGAACAGTGGCTTCTTCCTATTGCATAGAAAATGTCTGTGAGCTTGGAATTTTAGCTTAGCTACACATACAAGTAACAATACTTATGCGGATAGGTGCATGTAGGATCAGACATGACAAAAATAATTATAATCAAAAAAAAAGAGCAACATGATGATAAACAGCATTGGATTTACAAGTATCAAACTGTTATTTCTGAAGTTGGAGCTAAAAAATGAAAACTTTCTATTTTGCATATCATTTGCAGTTGAAAATTTTACCTGTGGTAAAAATTAAGTTTCTGTGCATAAAGACTGCATTGAGCTTTCTATGTAATACATTTATGAAGGACTAGCCTACTTTTTCAACACCGTAGATGTTTTATGCTCATAATCACTTAGAATGTCTCAAGGCTTATTTGAAATTTGAAACATTTTATCTTTCTTTTTAATCGGATGGGGACACTAACCTCGTCAAACCATGTAATTTCTGTTATTCTATACATAAAAAAAGAATCACAAAGAAAGAAAAATGAATATAACATATTAAATACATATTAAAACAATGTATGCATTTCAAAATAATACATTATGATAAATTTGAGAGCCTAAAAAAGATAATGATATCCGGCCAGGAAGGTCTAAGAAAAAAGATCTGTATGCCTGCAAACATTAAAAAAAATGCAGTAATATAGTGAAATTCTAATAATTGTAGTAGAAGGGCATATGATACTAGAAAAAAAACTTGTTCAACAAGACTGAAATAGATGAATCATTAAGTTGAAAAAAAAATGCAGTCATGGTGAAAAGATAGAARTAAATCATGAGATGCCCAAGGACTCCTGCAGGCTGTATAGTTAGAGGCGGGAAGAAGGTCATGCCTACTACTCATTAGCTTTTCAACAACAGGTCACATGCACATACCTGAGTTTGCTTTAAATCAGTAGGAAATGGTGCTAGGGGCAGCTAAACTGCAGGAGCAAGAGCTGGGTAAGAGCTATGTCATCCGCTCTTTGCTCTATTTTTGACCCACATACTGCAGATTGAACTGAATTTCAGAAGTCCATATCAGCAGTTCAATGCTGGTACATCTGCGCTGATGCTGGCTGCAAAGCAAGGCCTCAATGACACCTGAGACATCATCCACAGAGAAAACATTACAGGTGCTCCCTGAGAGTACACACTTCAGCACAGATCCATTTATCATCTACACAACAACATAATCATTATTTTTTACCTTTTCAGCAGTCATACAAATGTGCTGAAATTGACCATTAAAAGCTACTGTAAATGGGCTTGAACCGACGGAGGTCAAAGAAGACTCTTTGGAAAAATTTGGTTTTCTTTACATATGGTGCTCGGAGGCTTCTTATTATATTATTTGTATTTTATTTCCAGATAAAGAATGAATTAATAGAATTCTAGATGTCTCATGCTCTCTTGAATGTAAGTCTGCAAAATTTAAACTTTCTAAGCCTGAGATAATCCAAAAGACATTTTTACACTAAAGAGATGAAGAACATGCTACAGAAAGGTTAAAACTCCTTACAACTTATGTCTTCAAAAAGACATTAAAAAAAAAAAATGCAAGCACACAACACGAAACCGAAGCTATATTCAAAGAACTAAACTAAATCCTGAATATTTTATTGCTCCCAAGATATAAAATGGTATATTTATGAATTTTCTCAGGCTGCATCAGATATGATAGATACCAAACAGACCTGAGTAGTCAGACTTCAGGCATCTTGAGGTGGTACCAAAAAGCGGACGCAACAAATTTAAAATGATTTTACCAAMCTTTAGCTTAAAGTCACAGGCTTATTTTTCTTTTTTTTTTCTTTTCTTTTTTTTTCGTTATGGAAGGGGAATTGGGGGAAGGGACAGGGGAGCTTCTCGAAACTACAATCCTGATTTTGTATTTAGATAAAATATAGGGTGCAGCACATCTATTCAGTGGAGATGCAGTTGAACAAGGGCAAATCCCCACTAACGTGAGCTTGCATGTGCTCACACGCGCTGCAAACTGCACACAGCCCCAGCCATTACGTAACATCCTGGCTTATTAGAGTTATAATGTGAGCCATTGTTTGAGCTCCAAAAGAATCAAGAATACTTCAATGGGATGATTTTCATATCGGGGCCCTGAGGACAAATCTCTTCTTGTCTGAAAGCTGTTCTCCAACAGGGTGGTACTCCAGGTTCCTTCCTCATCCTGTGCAGAGGGCCAGCACTGGACCACATTTCTAGGATTACTGAGTAAGGACTTCAAACCCTATAGCAAGCTGGAGCCTTGCATATCAACCTTGGGTGCAAAACCTACGAGTGGAAAGATGCACAAAATTTTAAGTCAAGAGAAATGTGTGGCCTCAGGCAAGGCAGCTGAGCTCTTTGTCTACTTTCAATTAAGTAGACATATTATCTTGCTGCAAGGGGTGTTTGGAGAGGCTTGTTCCTAAAGGAGTTTAAACAGTAGGTAGGAGGATGGCAACAAAGACATTCATATACCAGGAAATAGTCTTAGGACAGCACATGCACATACATCCTAGGGCTGCAGAGCCTGTGTGTCACACAGTGCTGAAAAGTATGTTATAAACAAGGTGAGTTTAACACCTATTTTCTGTTAATAAGGCAAAGGGAATAGATCATTTCCTTCAAACTTGAATTTTATTCAGCAATAAAATCTCCATTCAATTGAATGTTGACAGATAAATAAGARTTCATGCTGTAAATTTAAAAGTTGGGAGTATTTGAAAATTTGAACACAGACAGTATATTTGATTGGCTAGGTATAATTCTTATAATTGCATTTTTCTGAAGAAGAAAACTGCACATTTTATTAAGTAATTCACATAGAAAATGGAAAAATAAAGTTGATGTGTACATTTTAACTCTGTATGTATAGTTAAGATGTGCAATAAATGGACTACAAATTAACTGTGAATTGTTATACAAAGTCTGTGAGGCATATTCTGAGGTGTTGCAAACACTGTAAATCCAGAGCAATTCTAATGAAGTCATAGAGCCTGTAAATCCAAATACTAATGCAAGGTGCTTCTGACATGTTATATGAACAGCTTAAAGTTTTACCAATAGAGTGAAATGTAAATGCAAGAGCATGATATAAATAGGTAGATCTGCAGCTACTAACACCAGTAACAAATTCTAAACATTGTAACTATAAAGCAAAATGAAGTGTTTAGAAATTTTAAAGCGAGGGTGGTCCAAGAATTGTCATAACCATASCTTAAAATCAGGTTTGAAAGTTGCAAGATCATCTTTTTCTTATGAAGATAGTGGCGTGATCTGTGGTAGGAATTCTCACTTTCCTTTTTGGAATATATTTCAGATGAAATCAAGATAAACTATCTCAAAAGGATCTATGTAGACTTCACTGAAGTGAATGATGCCTTCATCTTCATTATTACTCTAATAAGCTCATCCATAGGAGCTTTGCAATTATTATTGATATTTCAGCTCTCACATTCTATTGTGCAGAAGTACAGTAAATCACAGCTCCAACACTGAGAAGACCCAAGAGCAGRGGAAACCCAACCTAAAAAGGGAGTGATTGCTCTGTAGTATTTTCTGGGGTATCCAAAGAAAGGTGCAGAACCACATGGATGATCCCACTGGCCTTACGGTGGGCATCCTAACTGAGAGCAGATGGTGCTTAGATCTTGTTTCATGCAAGGGGATGATAGATTATATAAATAAAACATTATATTAATAAAATAGAATATCTAAATAAAACTTAGTCCTCATGTAGAATTTTCAGAAAAGAACATGGCATAGGAATATGCTTCTTTCTGTTGAAGTTGGATACTCATCCTGCATGAAAGTAAATGTGTTTATATGTATGTTTCAAGGACAAGGAAGTGTTTTTTTCTCTCTTGTTTTATACACAGTGCGCTCTGTCTTTGATCTAGGATCAAATTTAGACAGTATTCATTAAGCAAAAGAGTTTGACTGAACATGAACCTCTACTTCAAACTAACCACAAGATTGCATGGTAAATTAATCATCTGGAGGAAAAATAGAATTCTCAATTAAGTTATACTCCTCTTAATTCCAAGAAGACTGGATTTTGACAGGTAAATATTGAAACTTTATGTCCTAGGGACATTGCTGTTTGCAGTAACATCATTACTATGACTGATTACAGGTGAATGTCAATACTGCCTGGGACACAGATCACATATTTTGGTTAACCTATAAAAACAGGTGCAATAAATGTTTCCGTCTTCAAATATAGACACTCTTCCATGATTCTTTCATAGGTTGCACTAAAGAAAGGCATATCAGAGTATCCTGTTCCACAAATTGACTCCATGTGCCTGACTTACAATTAGTACCTGGGTCACAGCAATCTGTATGGTTAGTTATGGATGAAAATCAAATTACAGATT